CAACTTCTGGTCTTACTGATTTTCTCTGTTTTATGGTTTTATTTACTCCTGTTTCAATCTTAATTATTTCTTTTCTTCTGGTGACTGTATCTTTTTTTCCTCCCTGCTGTTTTTCTGTCTGTCAGAGTTATAGGAGTAAGTTATTGATTTTTACTTTTTCTTCCTTTCTGGTGTGTTCATTTTTGCTATAAATTGACCTCCCAGCATTGCTTGTGTTTTGTCCCAAAGGTTTTGGTATGCTGTGTTTTCATTCTCATTTGAGTCTAGGATTTTTATTTTTGATTTTTAGTCCATTTTTTAAAAAATTTTTTCTGTTACCCAGCTGTTTTGAAGCAGGATGTTGTTCAGTTTCTATGTATTTGATTTTTTTTCCCTTGTCCTTGTTCTTCCTGCTGATTCCTAATTTTATAGCATTGTGATTTGAGAAGAAGCTTTGTATTATTTTGAAGTTTTTAAATTTAAAAATGCTTGCTTTGTGGTATAACATGTGGTCTATTCTGGAGAATGATTCATATGTGCTGCAAAGAATGTGTACTGTGAAGTTGTTGGATCAAGTGTCATATGTCTATGACATCAAGTTGGCTGACTGTATTGTTCAGATCTTTGTAGTTTCTTTCTAGTTGCTCTGTCCTTCATCAAAAGTGATGTATTAAAGTCCTCTGCTATTATTGTGAATTTGTCTAGTTCTCTTTTCCATTATGTTAAAGTTTGACTTATGTATTTTGGGACTTTTTCACTGGGTGCATAGATATTTACTATAGTTATGTCCTCTCATTGGATAGAACTTTTGATTATTATATGATATCCTTTCTTGTCTCTTTTGGTGGTTTTGCCTTAAAGTCAATTTGATTAGAGATTAATATTACCACTCCTGCTCTGTTTTGGTTGCCATTTACTTGATATATTTTTCCCAGTCCTTGATTTTAAGTTTATTTTCATCTTGTGTCTAAGGTATGTCTCTTGTAGACAGCATATTGATGGGTCATGCTTGCTTATACATTCTGCCACTCTCTGTCTCTGTAAAATAATGTGTCATTATTTTATTTACCATTAAGAAATTAAAAAATTGCAAATTAATATTGTAGTATATCAACTATATGGATGGATAGTAATATATCAATGTCAATTTGAGACACATCCTGATGTGAGAGGTGTTAACGTGAAAATACGTGAAACTTAGAAGCAATGGATAGAATTGAGTTTGGTTTTTACATTTACAAATGAAAGAGTTGTTCTTGTCTAAGCCAAGCTATACTGTGATTGCTCATAATTATTACTTTCTTTTAATCACCATGAAATGGAAATTATAGGATTCCAAGGTCATGGCACAAATAGCCACTTCTCCCCTTCTATAAGAATACAATTGGTGCTGCAAAAATAGTGCCCACCAGTGATGCTGTGTGCCTATGTGTGTGTTTGAGTATATCTTTATGTGAGAGAGTTTTGGGTAGAAGCAGAAGGCTTGAGGCTTAGGTTATGGAGTGCCTTAGCCAGTGGGAGTGGTCTTAGAACTAGTTTTAGTCAATGAAATTGGAACACTGGTAATATGTGTTACTTCTGAGGAGAGATAGTTAAATATATGGTACCTTCCCCATGCTCTTTTCACATTCTTCAGCAAACATACAGGCAATACGTTGAATATGGCAGCACAATGAGAAAAAAAAAAAAAAAAAGAAAAAGAAAACTGAATCCATGAGTCATTCTTAGAATACTTCCAATCAGAAATATCTTTACTGAACATTAAATGAGCAAGAAATAAAGTTCTGTTACATTGTTGTTGTTGTTGTTAAGTGCCGTCGAGTCGTTTCCGACTCATAGCGACCCCAT